TCTGGGGCATAATAGAGACTCCAGAAATGTTTACTGGTTATAGGAGTAAGTGAATAAAACTTTCTTTTCTTTTCCTTTCCTTTCCTTTCCTTTCCTTTCCTTTCCTTTCCTTTCCTTTCCTTTCCTTTCATCCTCTTTAATAGCTGTGTACAATGTCCTCAGATGGCTGAATTAGGTAATAACATTCTTATACTTAGTTCAGGAATTGAATTTAAATGATATAATATATTGATTTTGAAAATGACACAATTTTTAGATAAATCAGAAATGTTTCTAAATTAAAAGAAAAATAAAAATTAGCCCCCCACACAAAGATAACCAGCTTTATGGTCCAAAACCACTTTACTCCCCCTCTGGTAGCCTGCTTTTCTCCATTTCCTTTATAGTGAGCATCTTTCCTTTATAGTGAGCTCCTTTATAGTGAGCATCTTTCTCCATTTCCTTTATAGTGAGCATCTTCCTTTATAGTGAGCATCTGTGTTGTTTTGTTTCCTGCTCCAGTATCGTAATTAATGCCTGTGTAGAGGTCCTTTTCTTGCACAACTCTGGGAGAGTCTGTCTCCTGTGGGTGGGAGAGTGACAGCATGGCTAGGTGACCTTTGGGGCTGTCCGTGGGCAATAAATAATCACCAGATTATTTATAAAGAGCCTCTAGCAGATTCCTGGGCTGGCAACTGATTTAAATGTACTTGTTCTTGATAGCTTGCAAACTCTTAGGTAGAAATGTCCTCTTGGCCTATGGGTAGCTAGGGAAGGGCTTTTAGGAATAAAAACTTTCAGAGTTAGGCAACCCTGGGCATAAGTCATGGCCACTTGTTAACCTTATGGTCTTGGGCAGGTTGCTAAACCTCTTTGAGCTGCACTTATCATCATCTGTAACTGAAGATAATAAGACTTTCTGCATGGGTAGAATGGAGGTTTATGGGTGTAGTACCTATTCATAGTAAGTGCTCAATAAGTGCCTCTCTTCTGAATAAACCACACCCATATTCTCTCTAACAAACACTTCACTGATTTCTTAAGTAACGAAGCTTACCCACTTCAATAAATAAATAAATAAATGTGTAACTGTAGAATTGGACTAAAGTGGGGCACTGCTTTTTTCTGAACAGCAACTGGATGGGCATTCTTCTGCCTTTGCTTCAGGCTCTGTCCTGTCATCTGTACCTATTCTTCTCCCAGGCTAAGCTCTCTCTGCTGCGAAGACTGGAGAGGATGAAAAGAACCAAAAGCCATTTAGAGAAGCATCAGTGGAGCTGTTCATGGATGCAGCTATCCATTAGTAGGGCCCCAAAGGGACTCCTCAGCTCAGATTTGACTGGGAAGCTAGGTCAACATACATTGGAAGGTGAACAGGACTTCCAAGGAGGGATCTGATGGGCATTAGAGTAAACAGACCAGAACGGCCCAACTCTCCCTAAGGGTTTTGCATTAAGTACTGTTATATTGCTAAGAATATGTATTTCTGGGGACTGGAGAGATGACTCAGCAATTAAGAACACTGGTTACTCTTGCAGAGGACTCAGATTTGGTTCCTAGCATCCACATGGCAGCTAACAACCAGTACTAATTCTAGTTCCAGAGGATCAGATGACCTCTTCTGGCCTCTGTAGGCATTGCATGACACAGGTACACTTACATACATTCAGGCAAAACACTCATATACATAAACAATATATAACATTTTCACATAAACAATAAATAAACTTTTTTCAAGAATATATATCTGGGGACTAAAGAGGTAGCTCAGCAGTTAAGAGCATGTACTGCTCTGCCAAAGAACCTGAGTTCAGTTCCTAGTACCTCTATGGGCAAGCACACAATCACCTGTAACTCCAGTTCCAGGGACTCCAACACTGTCTTCTGACCTCCATAGGAACTACACAACCCCTCCCCCCATACACATAAATTTAAAAAAATTTTAAAACAATATGTATTTCTAAGGTCTGAGAATAGCTAGGGCTGGTCAGGAGGCCTTGCTCCAGTTACAACTGCTCCAGTCTACACCAGCACTAGAAAACTTCACTTTGGCCATGACAGACCTCAGTGACTTCCAGATGACACAACCTGAAGCTGCTCCCAAGAGCCCAGTCTCTGACTGAGACTCTAGAGAGAGACCCTAGAGACCCTTCCTTCAACATGGTCAGTGGGAAGAAGAATACTTCCTGATGACTCAGTAAAAAGCTTGTGATTGACAGATGTACCTACACATGGCTTGTGATTAGTTCTTATGTAAGGACTGTGATTGGTCTTGGTGAAACTGGAGGCTGTGCTGTCATTGGTACAATCTTACATTTGCATGCCACGCCCTCCTTCTGACAATATAATCGGGCTGTTCTCTGCACTTTTTCAGTTGTCCGTGAGGTTGTCTCCTGTGTGTTGCCTGCTGGTGTTGCACCATTAGTTCCAGTAAAGACTTTTCCCCAGTGGTCTTTTCTTGCTTATGTGTGGTCTTCATTCTGGGTAGAACAGGCTGAGTAGGCAATATGAGGAGGAGAGGGCAGTGTTGCTGGTTGTGGCAATAATGGCATTTGTGACAGCAGCATAGGCAGCAGTCATAGTTGCAAAAAGATGGCTGAAGAGTTCCAGAGAGTGACTTGGGGCAGTTTCTATAGGAAGCAGAGGTAGTTGACACAGTGAGGGATAGTGGAACTTTAGAGAAAGTGAGGGAAGATGGAGAGCCAGGACTGAAAAGTAAAAGACTATGAGGAGCCAAAGAAGCAGACTTTGGGCCCCAGTTGCTAGAAGATTCCAGAGAGCTTCCAAGCCCTGAAGGCCAAGGGTCCTGACATATAAGGCCTAAGAACTTTATAGCTGCTGTTGAGAGCCAAGGGTCCCAGTACTCAAAGATTGGATGCCGTAGCAAAGGTGGGTGCTGAGTGCTGTGACTGCTGGTTGCTGTTAAGAACCAAGGGTTATTGAGCTGGAGAAATGGTTCAGCAGTTAAGAACACTAGCTACTCTTGCAGAGGACCCAGGTTTGATTCTCAGTACCCACATGCCAGCTAACAACCATCTGTAACCCCAGTTCCAGGGGATCCAATGCCCTCTTCTGATTCCCCTGGACATTTCATGACATGGGTACACTTACACACATGCAGGCAATACACTCACACACATACAATAAAAAAAATAAAGAATTGAGGGTTATGCTAGTTGCCAGGTGCTGGGATACTGGAAGTCAAGGCCCAGAACAGTGAGAGCTTCAACTACAACACCTAGAGCTGTAAGTCTCTGTCTTCTATAGCTTGAAGCCATAAGCCGCTAATTCTCAGGGCTTAGAGTTAGAAGACTCTGAGCCTGTCAGCCCAGACCTATAAGCCTTTGGCATTCAAGGGCCCAGGACTACCAACGCTGAAATGTTACTCTTTGTCCACTGGTGATTTCCATTTGAGCAGTGCAAAAGGGCCTCAGCCAGCTGGTAGTAACAAGAGAAGTGTCTATGACACTTTCACTCAAGGTCTCCAGAGACATCTGAGGCAGTTACCTCACTTGAAATATGGGAGCAGAAACCACAGAGGTGCAGAGAGTTGACTAAGGGCATCAGCTGATTAGAGAGGAGATGAGTGGAGTAGCTCCAACAACCATCTGCTGTCCCCATTCCCTTAGCCAAGAGGCTATTAATAATTTTATTGCAAGGTTTTGGATCTGATTTCTCCTCCCCTCTCCTTCTTAGTTCTGTTATCTGATTTTTAAGTTCAAGCCTTCTTTTCCAGGAGTGGTCCCTAATAACTTGTTCATATTTAAGGGTCAGCCTATCGCTAGACGTTTCCTTGAAAGCTCTATGCATTGTTGTATAACAATGGTTCTCAATAGGGGTGATTTGACTGCCAGGAGCCATTTGACAGCTAGAGACATTTTTGATCATCACAACAGGAAAGTTGGATGCTAAGTGCTGCCGACAGACTTGGGAATGTATGCAGCACAGGACAGTCCCACTAGGGGCTCTCCAGCCCCAGGTGTCCACAGTGCCAGCTGGAGAAAGCTTGTCCCAGGGTGCTCCAGTGTGTTCCAGCCCTTTTCTTCCTGGTCATTTCTTTGAGATGGTCACTTTCTCCCCAGAAAGCCACATCTCTGAAGGTTATCATGTGCAAGGCTATGCTTGGAAACTGGATACACTGTCAGAGCTGTAGGGCCCTGGCTGCTTTCAGTGTGGTGTCTGCCCATGGGAACAGTTCAGAACCCCCCTGGGTCAGCTTCTCCAGACAGCTTCTGCTGTCTCTGAGGTGGGTAGGAAGGGGACCTGGGGTGTGTGTGGGGTTGCATATACACAAGTGTAGGGGGAGGGTGTCTAACTGCTCCTTATATAAACAACACAGTCCACCATCTCACATGCCTGCCTGCAGTGGTCCCTCCCATTCCTAAGCTTTCAGGAATCGTGTCTTGAGAATGGATTTGCTTCTTGTAGATTATCAGAATTCTGCTCTCTCTGGCCTAAGCCAGTTACCTGCCTGCTTGTTGACTTGTCCCTTCTGTTACCTCCTCTCCATGCTAACATTCTTATATTTATTGCTTTGCTGTTATTTGCATCAAGTTTGGGGAGGGAGTGGGTACAAACGAGCAAAATCTATCATCTTAAATCAGAAGTGGGATTCTTATATGGCAGATTAAAATCTTCTAAATGTGTCTGGCCTCCAAGGAGGGCATAGTGCTGGACATAGAATCCTTTTATCCCTAGAAGCAGGAATTGAAGAAGGGTGCTAGAAAGGATGTACAAGAGTCCTATGACCTCAGTCCTACTAAGCCTCAGTTTCCCTGCCTGTAAAGAGTGTGCTTTCAGTCCTGTGTAAAAGAAGTGACGGATGGATGCAGGAGAGTAAAGATGCCACAGAGGGCCATGGCTTACCACTACCATTCTTGTGGTTGGAGTCATCATCATCATCTCCTTTAAGCACATGACCACGCAGGGGTGTCACATGGGCACAATGACAGAATGTGGCTCCTGGTAGACTGGCTTAACACAATAAAAGCATGTATATCACTACCTCATTTTCTTGCCAGAGGCCTCCAGTTTGGTTGGCAGAGGGGCGACCAGCTGGCCAATTGGACGGGGCTCTTTAATGCCAGTGACGGCCTACCAGTACAGAACAGCAGTGACTCCAGCTCCAGGTACAGACCCCAGTGAATGGTGGGGGAGGGTAAAGCCCAAACTTGAGGGCTCTATGCTGTCCCTCCTCTGTTGCCCACCCCTAGGGCTGCCTCAAAAGAGGAGTTCCTTGGTCCTGTGGCTCACAGCTTGCTGCATTTGGGGATTTCGCCTGTCTCCTTTACCTGGGGGTTGAGTGGATATGAGGGCTGAGGGATAAGGCCAAACCCCAACAAAGTGGAGATTCATTGACCCTTTTGGGTAGGGTAGGATGGGGGCTTTGGGTTTCAGCCTCTGCTAGTGGGTGGGAGCAAAAGCTGTGTTGCAGAGCAGGGATTTCAGGCTGAGATGGGTGTGTGTGTGTGTGTGTGTGTGTGTGTGTGTGTGTGTATGACATCAGGGGATGGGTATTGGGCAATACTTCCCCACTTTTCTGAAGTCTGCTGCCCAGATACAGAAGCTACACTTTTCTGGGGTAGAACCACTTCCTTCAGGACAGCACTGTGCTGTGACAGTCATACCATTGTGTGGTTATTTCCTTTTAATGTGTTGCAACATTCGAAGCTAAAGTCAGTAACTAAGGGTGTCCTACTCAGGAGTAGGAATTCGAGATGTCTGTTGAATGGATGAACATGCAATATTCTTAGGTGAACACATTCCTCACAGGGAGGAATTGTGGGGAATTTTTGTGGGCAGAGCTTTCTCTGCTTGGAGCTCTGTGTGGTTCAAACCTGCCAGGTGATAGTTTCCAGGGGCTGATTAAGCTGTATTGTTTTTTGATTTTTTTTTTTTTTGTATTTCTAAGTAAAGACTAACTCTCAGATCTACTTCCCTGGGAAAAGGCCTGAGCTTTCTTTGCAGTTAATTTTGATCCTAAACATGGACTTTACCTTACAGAGGAGAAGTGATGTGCTTTGCAGGGACCCTGATAAGCATGCTTTTGTTCAAATCTTTGAAAAAGTAAAGACATAGCTACAATGTCAGAAATCAGGTAGGCAGATGTCCACAGAGCAGTGCACATGCACAGTCAGGCCTCAGGTATCCAGTGGTGTCTTCTTGGGACTGGAGTTCTTCCTGCACTGGGCAGAAGGAGCCATGGCCAGCTGTGCAGGACCTTGGGATGTCATGGGACAATGAGTGGTCCACAGTTGTCTTTCAAATCTTGAGCTGCTTATGTTGGTTGGGGGTTTGCCATGTTCTGCTCACCCAGATGGGAGGTAGTTTAGGTAAATGAGCAGGTATCCATCTCCCTGAGGAACCATTTGGAAGAGACATATACTTGAAAGGCTTTGTCTGAGTAGGATGGATAAGCCCTAGGAAGGGTGTTTCTGGACAGATGTTCCCAGTCAGTGGCTGAAGCCACTGTATAATTCATTAATTTGATCATCACTGTGACTAATATCTGATGGAAATAGCTTAGGAAAGATTCATTCATTCATTCATTCATTCAGAGGTTCCAGTTTATCATGGTGGGGAGAGCTTGGCCAAGCACCTCTTATCATAGTGGGCAGGAAAAGCAGAACAGTAACAGGAAAGAGTCAGGCAGGGTAGAGCCCCCAAGGACACACCCCCAGTGTTCTACTTCCTCTGACCAGGTCCCTGCCTTCCACAGTTCCACTACCTTCTCAATCTTCTATTCAAATTTTGAATTCACGATTGGATGAAACCACTCATTAGGTCAGAGTCCTCATGATCTTATTTTTTCTGGAAATGACCTCACAGACACACCCAGAGGTTTGCTTTAATACTCTTGAGTGTTTCTCAATTCACAATTGATTCAGGAGCTGGAAAGATGGCTCAGCAGTTAAGAGCACTGGCTGCTTTTTCAGAGGACCTGGATTCAGTTGCTAGCACCCACGTGGTGGCTAACTACCATCTATAACTACAGTTCCAGGGGATCCGACGCCCTCATCTGGCCTCCATGGGCACTGCACACATATGGTACACTTACACACATGCAGGCAAAACACTCATATACATAAAATAAAAATAAATAAATTATAACAATTTTTTTAAAGATTAACTGTTCATGGAAATGAATATCTGGTACTCCGAATCTGGCCAAGAACCCATGGGTAGGGAGCTCATAGCCTCTAGGGATGAGCCTATTACTATTATTTTGCTAAATGGAAATAGTATCAAACTGCTCTCTAAAGACGTATACATCTTGGGGCTGGAGAGATGGCTCAGCGGTTAAGAACACTGACTGTTCTTGCAGAAGACCTGGGTTTGATTCTCAGCAGCAACATGGCAGCTAACAACTGTCTGTAACTCCAGTTCCAGGGGATCCAACAGCCTCTTCTGTCCTCTCTGGGCATTGCATGACATGGATGCACTTACCTACATGCAGGCATAACACTCATATACACATTAAATAAAAATAAATAAAGTGTCTGGGCATTTTGGTGCACACCTTTAGATCTCTGTGCAATGAAGGCCAGCCTGGTTGACATAGTGAGTTCCAGGCCACTTGGGAAAAAAAAAAAGGAAGAAGAAGAAGAAGACGTGTATCTTTACCATAGATTAGCAAGCTTCTTTATGCAGTGGATAGCAGTTAACACAGAAATTCACTACTGGTCAGAGTGTGAATAACTGTCTGTGGACTGCTCAGCCATAAATGGGGCATCTGTATCACATACCTTCTCCCCAGGGCTCAGGGAACATCATGGAAGAGGGAGCAGAAAGATTGTAAGAGCAAGAGGTTGAGGGAGTGGGGACTGGGATGAAACAGTGTCTCCCTAGACATGACAGGACTGTTGCAAAGTCTCAGCAGCTGTGTTTGCCTGCCTAAGACCTGCAAAGATCAAACCAGACACCATTCCAGCACAGAGTTGGGGAGGGGCTTATGAGCTCCCACCCCTAGCTGAGATGTGGTCCCTTGTAGGGCAACCAAGCTCTGGTGGATGGCCCATACCTATGCACATATGGGCAGCACTAATTAGACTCTGTGGGACATAAAAAATAAAAGGAAATGAAGTTGGAAGGGGGTGTGGGAGTGTGCAATAGACCCAGGAGAAGTTTGTAAGAGGAGAAGGGAGTGAATATGATCAAAATACATTGCATGCATGTATGAAATTCTCAAAGAATTAGTCAAAATAGTATATATTTTTAAAAACTATTAACCATTCACCATCCCTTGACATCCCAGGGTCCTACCCAACTGGACATAACTCCTGCTACCCATTTGCTAGAGAACTGTGGTCCCAGAATTGAACCCTGGGGACCTGATCATGGTGTATAGCCATGCTACCCCCTCAGACCACTCTGCCCGCCTTAGGACTTCTGCTTGCTGACACTGTAGCCACATCTTTATTTTTTCAAAGTTTGAACAAAAGTGTGGGAACTGTCCCTGTTTCCTAACTGCCAGCATCTTCTTCTTCTCCCTCTCCTCCCCACCCCTTGCCCTTTTTCTTCTCTACCTCTCTCTTCCTTCCTGCCACCTTTCCTGGTCCTCTTTTCTTTCTCCTTCCCTTGCTCTTCATTTTTCTCTCTTCCTCCTGGCAACTCAGACAAGCCTCCTCTTTCTGATCAGCTGGGATCTCTGTGGGGTAGAGACCTTGCTTGAGTCTATCAGTTTACTTTTGGGATTCAGAGGTCCTTTATCTGATGTCATTACCAGCTGAAATGAGTTCCTTTTGGAGACCTACCAATTCACCAAGAATTCCCTTGGTCACAGAATAAAGGTCTTGACCACACACCCCAAATTTCCCTGGGACAATTCCAGTTTCAAATTCTCATTTTCTAGTTGGCCCACAAAGCAACTGCATGTGTGAGACTGCAATATGTATCGTTTCTATGTGTGGGAAAGAATGATTAATGTGAACAGAACCCAGACACACATGGGAGATTTTTCACCTGGATGAGCAAGCAGTTTGGGCCTTCTTTTTTTTTTTTTTAGTTTGGGTCTTCTTTACAATGAGCTAGATAGTTCATGGCTGCACATTTGCAGCCCCAGGGAGGACTTAACAAGGACAGATGTCATACGTCATGCAACTTGGCATCTGGGATACAGAATGCTCTTTGCGGTATTATTCACCCACTGAATAATTCAGTACACAGCATATTTTGCTATCTATAGTATGTGGTATATGGAAGTGTGGCACAACCTGTTAGCATTTATTATTAACAAGATTGGAAAGGAAGTCAGGAGGTACCAAATATAACTGGAGCATAAAGAGGGGCAAACCAGCAACTGATTCATAGACCCTTTGCTCAAACAGGCGCCGCAAGGAGAAGGAGCCAGTCCAAACCATCCAAACAGAACCACGAAACAAACCCTGACTGATAGTACTCATCAAGGCTACCATCAGAGCTTCTTGTTGAGCATATACTAGGGAAAATCAGGCCTAACTGGAAAGTGCATCTTATATAAAATACATTGGCATGTTATATAATATACATTAGCTTTATGAAGTTGAAGTCGGGTCTACCAAGTATTGTCCAATAAGCATCCTTGGGCGAACTGCTTTAATGAGCAGCTAGGAATAATTTTTAGCCAGCAAATGTTGAATACTTAGAACAAGTAGGAGAGTATTTGAAGACAGTTCTTGTGTTCAGATTATGAGTTCGTGTTTCCTTCTCCTTAGTTCCACAGAGACTGTGATTCTTTGTCTTCTAGTCCTCAGCACCCAGTTAGCATCTGCCATTGCTAACCATTAAGAGGGTGAGCTAAGCAGAAACTAGGAGAGGTTGTTGGTAAGAAAGCAAACTTCAATTTCCATGTTTCCAGATCTGCCTTTTGGGTTCAACCTTGTCTCCTGATGCCAGCTTTGAAAGTTTTCCCCAGGAAGGAGAAACACTTAAGAGTCATGAACTAACTCACTCACTGTTCAGAATTATCAAAGGATTCTTTCTTGGAAAGAGCAGACAGCTGGATGGCCCAAGGGTTCTGGGATCCTGGGTAGAAAAGGAGAGACTGGAAGTTGGGGGAGAGTGTGTAAAAATCAGAGATGATTCAATGAAGATGGGATATAGAGGTCTGTGGTAATTGACCAAGGAATCCCAGGCCTAGGGGGTGGTACAT